ACCACTGTCTTCCCCTTGCGGCGCAAGGCGGACGTCAGTGGTGTTTTGATCCCCTGGATCCATGCTACTCGTCGCCAGCTGCGCGAGCGGTTCAGTCGGGACTTCCCAGTCCTGCGTGTGCACTCTGACAGCGGCGGTGAGTTCTCTTCTGACCTCCTTGCGGAGTTCTGTCGAGACGAGGGCATTGTCCAGTCCTTCACGCTTCCTGCCTCTCCTCCACAAAATGGGATTGCCGAGCGTCGCATTGGCTTGATCATGGAGGTTGCTCGTACCTCCATGGTCCATGCGGCTGCTCCCCATTTTCTGTGGCCGTTTGCGGTCCGATACGCTGCGCATCAGCTCAACCTTTGGCCCCATGTCTCTGAGCCAGAGACCTCGCCCACACTCCGGTGGACGGGGAAGGTTGGCGATGCGTCGGTGTTTTGGGTCTGGGGCACGCTCTCCCTTGTTCGCGATGCAAAAGCAAGCAAGCTCTCCTCTCGCACTCTCCGCTGCGTCTTCCTTGGCTTCCCCACCAATGCTCCGCCATGGCAGTTTTACCACCCGCGCTCGCGTCGAGTCTTCTCCTCCCAGGACGTCACCTTTGACAAGTCTGTCTGTTACTACAAGCTACACCCGAACGCGTCCCACCCGGTCCCCCTAGCGCCTCTTTTCTTGGTACCAGTTCCCCCCCCCCGGTAGACCCCTCCCCCCCACAGGGTCTTGCTCCCTCAGGTGTGTCTCAGGTAGACCCACCCCCCTTGGTTGAGCCTTTGGAGATCTTTTCTGACTCCTCTGGCCCAGCTGAGGGGTGTGACCCCACCGCTGACGACACAACAGCCACTCGCCGCTCTCCACGCTTAGAGACCCCCCCTAGTTTTCCGCCTAGGCAGTCTTCGCCGCCTCCACAGCCTGGTGCTGTGGACTCTGGAGCTGAGACTGCTGGTGCTGAGCCTGGGGGTGCTGAGACAGAGGGTGAGGGTTCTGGGGGTGCTGCACCTGAGGGTGCTACGACTGGGGGTGCTGGATCTTGGGGTGCTGCAACTGGGGGTGCTGACTCTGGGGGTCCTGCGAGTCCTAGTGGCGGTGGAGCTGTGGGTGACCCTGATGGAGGTCCTAGAGCTGGACAGCCACCGCAGCCTGACCTACTTGAGACGCTCTCGCCGCAGGCGATTTGTGTGTGGATCGTTTGGCAAGGCAGTCCTGGTGGTGAAGGGTACGGTCCTGCTGGTGCTGGAGCTGCTTTTCCTGGAGGTACTGCTGGTGCTGGAGGTACTGGAGGTACTGCTCGAGGTGCTGAAGGTGCTGCTGGTGCTGGAGGTACTAGAGGTGCTGCTAGTGTTGGAGATGCCGGAGCTACTAGTCCTAGAGGTGCCACTAGTGCTGGAGGTGCTGGACCTACTAATCCTGGAGGTACAGGTGGTGCTTGAGGTGCTGGAGGTGCTGCTGGTGCTAGAGGCGTTGGAGCTGGAGGTACTGGAGGTGCTGGAGCTGCTGGTCCTGGAGGTGCTCGTACTGGAGGTGCTGGAGCTGCTGGTCCTAGAGGTGCTCGTACTAGAGGTGCTGGAGCTGCCAGAGCAGGTGGTGCTTCTGGTGCTGGAGGTGCTGGAGGTGCTACTGGAGCTATTGGCACTAGAGGTGCTGGAGGTACTACTGGTGCTAGAGGTCCTGGCACTGTCGGAGCTAGTGGTGCTGCTGGTGCTGGAGGTGCTGGTGCTGCTGGTGCTGGAGGAGCTGGAGCTGCTGGTACTGCCCTGTGCATACCGTTTTTCTACCCGCAGCCGCAGTCGTCCCTGCCGCCGCCTGACTCGGTCCTTTGCCAGGTTCTTAGTCCCCCGTCTTCCACTGGCCTCCCTCTACCCCTCCTGTGTCCACCGATAGACCAGCCTCAGCCACAGCTACTACATGGCTCCCCCTTGCCTGCGCCTGCTCCTCACACTGAGGTGACTGAGTCCCTAACTTAGCGTCGTGAGCCTGAGACTCGTGCTTCCACACCTGTTTGTGCTCATCGTGTCGCCCGTCCTCGTCCTTCTGCTGACCCAGGCACTCACGGTATGGCACTTTGTCCTTCCTCTGTTCCACAACGTCTTGTCCCGCCTAAGCCTCCCCCGTTCTCTCTTTCGCACGTTTCTGAACCTGAGTCCGACCTTGCTCGTGCTGCCAGTCCTACTGTGACTCATCTCCTCACTACTGTCGTCACTGACCCTGACCTTGAGTCTACTGCAGCGTCTGCCCTAGTCATTGAGCTAGTCGAATTTGCAGCTTGGAGTCGTCTCGACTACGTCGTGAGTCTTGTCACTGAGTCATAGTGTGTATGTCCTCCGTCCGTCGGGGGTGAGCTTGCCCTTAGAAGTGACGTAATTGAGGACAGACAGTTTGAGCTTGAGTGTCTTACGGTCGCTTTACCTCGTTTCGCATCCATGCTGCTTTGCCCTGAGGGAGACCCGGATGCACTTGACATCCCTACCCCGCGCTCTTACGTTGAGGCGATCGCGGGTGAGTACTCCTCTCCGTGGCAGACAGCCATGGATGCAGAGATGGCTTCCTATAAGTCCACAGGCACCTACGTCGACGAGGTTCCTCCTCCTGGGGCGAACATAGTCGATGGCATGTGGATTTTCAGAGTGAATCGGCCGCCGGGTTCTCCGCCTGCCTTCAAGGTGCGTTACGTTGCTCGAGGTTTCAGTCAGCAACAGGGGGTCGACTTCTTCCAGACCTTCTCCCCCACCCCGAAGATGACTACTCTTCGGGTGCTGCTGCACGTTGCAGCACAGCGTGACTACGAGCTGCACTCCCTCGACTTCTCCACAGATTTCCTGCAGGGCAGCCTTCACGAGGAGATCTGGCTACGCTGCCCACCCGGCTTCACTGAGTCGTTTCCTGCAGGTACCCAGTGGAGCCTCCAGTGGCCAGTCTACGGTCTCCGCCAGGCGCCCCGAGAGTGGCACGACACACTGAGGACTACACTTGCAGCTCTTGGGTTTGCTCCTTCGTCTGCTGACCGTCGCTGTTTCTGCCCACCGACACTACCTTGCCGCCGTTCTACGTTCTAGTATACGTTGACGACTTGGTTTTTGCTGCTGCTGACACCGAGGCGCTGGCCCTAGTGAAGGCGGAGCTGTAGGAGAGACACACCTGCACTGACCTGTCAGAATATTATGTTTCTCTAGTCTGCAGTGGGGTACTCTATAGTGAGTACAACCCTTTTAGGGTTTGCTATATGTATCCCAATGTTTGCTAGTGAACCCCTCACTTCCGCTCCACTCTTCTCTCATTCATTCCTGTTTCTTTGTTCACATGACCTGGGTGAGTTGCATAGCTATCTTGGCTTGCAAATCACTCGGGACAGAGCACGGCGCACCATCACCCTGACTCGGTCACACATGGTGCACCAGGTCCTTCAGCGCTTCGGCTTCCAGTTCTCCTCGCCACATCTCACTCCTCTGTCTACCGGCCACTCACTCTCAGCTCCACCTTCGGACGAGTTCGTAGAGCCGAGTGGTCCGTACCCAGAGCTTGTGGGTTGCCTCATGTACCTGATGACGTGCACACGACCTTACCTCGCGTACCCTCTCAGCCTCCTGGCTCGCTATGTGGATCCCGGTAGACACCGAAAGGTGCACTCGAATGCTGCGTTACTTGTGCAGTACATCGGGCATAGGGCTCGTGTTTGGAGGACAGGGTTCAGTGGTACTCGCAGGATACTCCGACGCTTCTTGGGCCGACGACTAGGCAACTCAGCGTTCGTCACAGGGTTACACCTTCAGTCTTGGCTCTGGTTCTGTCTCGTGGAGGTCTACTCGTTCTTCTTGTGTGCTTAGTTCCAGCTGTGAGGCCGGGATCTATGCTGGGGCCATGGCTGCACAGGGGCTACGCTGGCTGACCTACCTGCTGACCGACCTGGGGGAGCGGCCTCGTTCTCCTCCAAATCTGTACGGCGACAACAAGCCAATGCTTGCCTTGTGTCACGAGCAGAGACCGGAGCACAGAACGAAGCACATTGCTCTTCGCTACTTCCTTGCGCATGAGCTGCAGCAGCGTGGTCAGCTCCGCCTTTCCTACATGGCCTCGTGGGCCAACACTGCTGATGTTGTCATCAAGGCCCTTGGGTCTGGTGATCATCAGTGTTTCTGCACTGCTCTTGGGCTTGTGCCCACCATGCCTCACCTGTAGGTTGCTTAATTTGCTCTTGTTGTACACTTATATATATCTTTATACCTGCTTGTTTACTCTTGCTAGGTTGTGATCAATGTACTGCCTTGCTTTTATAACTCTGCATGTGAACTGGCCTTGTGGCCGCTTGCTGTGCTCGGATTGTGTGGTGTCCTTGAGATCCACCCAGAGCTTTGGTTTGCTTTGCTCTGTTTTCTTGCTTGACTGGTCTTGTGACCGTCTTGTTGTCCCCCACTTAGCCTATGGGGGTGTGTCAAAGTACAATCTTACTTGTAGGCTATAGTGGGGCACTCCTTATGGGGTACAGCACTTCTATGGTTAGTACTTGTACCCCAACTCTTGCTAATCCAATCATTCCTGCACAGTTATTCTGACAGAGTCGGCCTACGATTCGGGACTAGCCCGAACCTCACGCCAGCGTAGCACTAGCTAGCTCGCACGCACCGCGTTACCCTTTGCACATTTTCGCGGATAAGTATTCGCTCATATTTTGTACTCATTGAACACTCTAGTGCAATCCTCGCTAACTAGATTCATTGCACCCGTAACACTGGAAATGGTAGTGTCATCACATGCGGAATCCCATTGCGCGGTCAACGTGGAACATCTGTGAAGTGGCGTGCTTTGCCCAAAAAAGGGGTTACACGCCCTGAATCGCCAGTGGAACTGCAATGCGCACACCCCTCTCCACATGACTGGTAAAAAGCAGTGACCAGCCTCACTCGATCACCCTCAAGGGGTTGGACGGGTCTCAGTAGGATGCAGTGCGGTCACGAGTAAGAGATTCAAGATGCCCAATTCCCATCCCTCTCCTCCCCAAGCCACTTGACGTCATAGTGGATCATAAAATGCGCCGTTTAATGCGACACCTCGTCAAGCGCCACGTTTCCCCCATGGCGGTGTTCAGAATCCTCATTGCCTTCTGTATCGCTACAATAGTTGTCGTCCCAGCTACGGCGTTTTACCTCCCGGGAATGTACCCCAAGGCACACGCTCCTAATGACACTCTGAACGTTAACGTGAACTCCTTGACGTCTAACGAGACCGGACTGTCGTTTAGCTACTACAGCCTGCCGTTCTGCCAGCCAGAGGAGGGGATACAGCGACTGGACGAGAATTTCGGCGAAGTATTGATTGGCGACCTGATCGAGAACTCGCCGTTTAAATTCCGCACGCTCGTCAAGCAGCGCGCCGTGAAAGCATGTGACGTGGGTCCCCTCACCGAAGCCGACGTGGAAGATCTCAAGTCCAAGATCGACGGCTTTTATCACGTCAATTTCCTCCTGGATAATCTCCCAGTTACGCTCTTCTCCCTAGAAGACAACGAAGGTGATATTCTAACCGGCATCCCAATTGGTTATAATCACAACGGCCAGTACTACCTCTACAATCACATCCTTTTCAAGGTCCTGGTGCATGAGTACGTCGAGTCGCCCGCCGCACTGGCCGGAATGTCGATGGGGTATTCCTCCGTTGACGTTTTCCCTCAGGAAGAGAGCTACACGGATCAGGGCTCATCCCCAAACGGCACGGCAGTAAAGGGATTCGTGGTCGTGGGCTTCGAATCCGCGGCTTGCAGCATCCGCCGCTCTCCGGATCCCGAAATCCCGCGCTACTCGACGCTCGATCCGATCGACTGTTTCAGAGGCGATCCGCAGCCCATTGCTCCCGGGGAATCCATTGTCGTCTCCTTCGACGTGCTGTGGGAGAAAAGCCCGATTCAGTGGGCGAGCCGCTGGGACGCGTACTTAAAGATGCGCGGCGATAAGGTCCACTGGTTCTCCATTCTCAACTCCCTCGTCGTCATCTCCTGCCTGGCCGCCGCGGTTTTCGCGATTCTCCTCCGATCCGTGCATCGCGATCTAGCGAGGATCAACAGCAGGGACAAGGAGGAGGCCCAGCAATTGGCGGACGAAAGCGGGTGGAAGCTGCTGGTGGGGGATATTTTCCGGTCGCCTCCGCATCCCGAGGTGCTGTGCATTATCGTGTCGAATGGCTCGCAGCTGCTGTGCATGGCAGTGGTTACAATCTTCTTTGCAGCGTTGGGGTTCATGTCTCCTGCGTCCAGGGGTGCTCTGCTTATGGGCATGGTGCTCTTTTACCTGCTTCTCAGCGTCGTTTCTGGTTACGTCGCCTCCCGTATGTGGGTAACGCTTACTGGCGTCACTGTTGCCAGTGCCGGCGCCAGCAACAACAGCAGCGACAATGGCAGCAGCAGCAGCAGTACTCTTTCGGAAGAAGCAGCAGCGGCAGTTAGGGTTTTGGCAATCAAAGTAGCATGCTTTTTCCCTGGGATCTGTGCCGTGACCCTCCTAGTCATCAATCTGTTCATCTGGGCCACAGGTAGCACAGGCGCCGTGCCGTTCTCTCTGTTCTCCTACCTCTTCCTCCTCTGGTTCGTCATTTCCGTCCCTCTCACCATCCTCGGTTGCAACCTTGGTCTGAAGGAGCAAAAAATCGCCTATCCGGTGCGGACAAATCAAATCCCAAGGGCGATACCAGACCCGAATTACATGCCCCACTTGGGCTTTCAGGGCTATGGAAGCTACACCCCCTGGTTACTTATCCTAGCTGGGGGCGTCCTCCCATTCGGCACCCTGTACATTGAGCTCTACTTCATTATGTCCTCGATGTGGATGCAGCGGGTGTACTATGGGTTTGGATTCCTCTTCGTCGTCCTTATCCTGCTCATGCTGGTGTGCGCGGAAGTGGCTGTCGTATTCACATATTTCCAGCTCACCATGGAAGATTACCGCTGGTGGTGGCGCAGTTTATTCGCTTCAGGGTCGGTTGCGTGTTACGTGTTCCTGTTCTGTGTTTTGTACCTTGTGGTGGACTTACGACACATGCGCAGCCTGCTGTCTGCCACCATATTCCTCTGCTACTCCCTGCTCATGTCGCTGGCGATTTTCCTCGCAACTGGGACTGTGGGATTCTTTGCATCCGCTTACTTTGTGTACTATCTTTTTTCATCCGTCAAGCTTGACTAGTGTATGCTCGTTGTGGGGTGGAGATTCGATGAGTAAGACTTACATCTTCTAGATGAGCAGAAAATATTGTGGTAGTAGACTGCATTCCAAGTGCTACCAATCCATTTCTTCATTATGTGTAATAGGTGTTATGTAGAGCTGTGCAAGTACAACCACAATAATTAAAACACCCTGTATGTTATGAAGCTGAACACTCGCAACGGTGTACTACTTATATGCGACTGCGTGTAATCCGAAGTTGAAGTCAGTCAAACCCAGCATGAAACCTCGGCCAATCAAACGCCTCTAAAATCAGCAGCAGCGGCGGCGGCGGAGGCTTTTATGAAGAGTGACAGGGGCGAGGTGAACTCGGGGGACTTGGCGGATCTGATGCTGCACCTGGACTGGTCATATGATGACAGGCTGGGCCGCTGGGACCGGATCATCGACAGGGAGAGTGACGACGTGCAGTATGAGGCATGGCGGCGTGACCCCAAGGTAAAGGCTTCTCACATGATGGAGTCGGGCTTTCTCTCTCTCTCTCTCTCTCTCTCTCTCTCTCTCTCTCTCTCTCTCTCTCTCTCTCTCTCTCTCCTGGGCAGCACAGCGCAACCCTACACGGATTAGAGCTGTCATGCCACGTGGCTCACTCTCTTCCTTTTCTTCTCACTCACTCCCCATTTGCAGAATGGCGGCCCAACGGAATACCACACGCTCACGCGCTTTCCCGGCATGCCAGCGCGGCTGGTAGCAGCATATTACACGGATTGCACATACCACCTGCAGCACCAGTGCGACCCCGTGCTGAAAGCCTTCTCCCCGCTCTCCGCCTGCCCCGTCACGGGCGTGCACAAGGGCAGGTTTGAACGAAAATACCCGCTCTGTGCTGCCCGGGAATATGTCCTGGCTTGGAAGGTGTGGGAGATGTGGGGGGGTTGTGGGGCAGTGAGGGGCGGTGGAGGAGCTGGAATGGAAAGGGAGGAGGAGGAAAAAGGGGAGGAGGGAGGGGTGAGGGGAGTGGAAGGAGGAGAGGTGGTGTTCTGTGTGACGAAGGCGATAGAGGATGAGACTGTGCCACGGAAGTCGAAGCCGAAGCGGGTGGATATTTACAACTGCGGATGGAGAGTGCAGGATGGTGCGTGCTCTGTGAGAGGAGCGTTGATTAACCTTGCTCGACTCGACCATACTCCACCGTTCTCAACCTCACTCAGTTTTTGCTCATGCCGCACTCTCTCCTCCACTATCTTGTGCAATTCGTTCCTTCATATCGTATGCATATCTTGCTGATTCAAACAGCACAAGCCGCCCTCTCGATCCCCTCCTCCTCAACCTGCCCTTCCCCTCCCCGCTCCCTCACTCTCCCCCCCTTCTCTCCTCGCCAGTTGTCCTGCCAGACGGGCGAAAAGCAGCCGAGATTGAGATGGTGGTGCGAGATGACTGTGGCATCCAAAGGGACATGGCCAAGATGGCGTTCAGGCGCGGCGCATGGGGCTACGTCTGCAACACACTCGCACACATCCGCGGGTATGTGCAGCTGCACCCGCACCTGCTGCTGCCTCCACCTGCTCCCCCCTCGGCTGGGTTTGAGGCGCTGCTAGGGGAGAACAGTGTGCAGTCGCAGCAGGAGCAGGAGCAGCAGGAGCAGGAGGAGGAGGAGGAGCGGGGGGAGGAGATGGACAGGGTGCAGCAAACCGTGTTGTTAAGCAAGGACGGCAGCAGCAGCAACAGGAGCAGCAGAGTTGTTGACCAAGATGGCATGTTCCCTGCAGGAGACGCCGCAGCAGCAGCAGCAGCAACGGGTGTTGGTGCACAGGCAGAAGTGTCGTCGTCACTAGCAGCATTGTCGGCTTCAACATCTGGAGCACGTGAAGCAGGTGCGGCTCTCAGTCGGTCCCTCGCTGCCCAGGCATCGCTGCCACGCCTCCTGCGCTTCACACCCCGCCCTGGCCTCTCCCTCTCGCGTGCATTCAGCTGCCTCCGCTTCGCTGCTGCTGCCACTGCTGCCGGAATCGGCAGCAGCAGAAGCAGAAGCTTCTTCGCTGCGACCCCAGAACCAGGCTCCTCAGCAGCACTCTCATTGGCGTCAGCATCAGGGCCGGGAGGCTCAGGACTGGGATCAGCAGCAGCAGGGGCTTCAATGGCCCGAACTTCTGATGGTAAACGAGTGCTGCTGCTGAGAGGGGTTGTGCCTGTAGTGGCAGTGGCAGCTATGGGGCTCGGTGTAGGGGGGTTGCTTGTGGTGCATTGCGGTGCGGCTGGAGCAGCATCCAAGGTGCTTCTTGCTTGCACCCTGAGGTCCATGTGGGTGGGGGCGCAGCGGGAGAGTCCCCAGGAAGGCCCCTCTCAGGCTGGCCGCAAGGAGGCAAGGAAATAAGGGAATAACGCAATAAGGATGAAATACTAGTGGGGGGACTGGCAAAGCACGGCTCATCAGCATCTGCTATTTTGGCCCTGCTCTGAAACGGGGACTGCTGGCTGGCCGGTGTGGAGATAGATAGTGGCTGTAGATAGGAGGTTTACGTATGTATGCCTGCCAACCAATAAGGTGCTCCTGTGCAGCTGGTGCAAGGTGCAGCTCCTCTAGCTGGTGTGCTGGGGTGTGCTTTTTAAATGCTGTCAGGGTGCTGCTGGCTGTGAGCATAAATGTCTGCATTCTTTTGTTTATATGTGTAGTGGAAATTTCGTTGTGGGGTACAAAAATGTGCGCAAAGATACCTACACCAGGTGTACTCTACTGTGGATGGCCAGGGCCAGCCTCCCTGAAAGGATGCCTAGCCTCTTGAGAGTTCCTATAGTTTAGACATTATGTTGATCCTAGGCGGGTAGCTAGAGGAGTGTGACATATAGAGTAGAGGGTAGCTAAGCCAATTGATTGGATTGTCACTCAGATTGCTTATAGCCGCCAAGAATCGAGGTGACTGCTTGTAACGAGGACAGTTTCCAGGGAACTGTACCAACTCCTGCAAAGTTGAATCGCAAACGGGGAACCTATTACCAGAGCGTAGACCTTGTAGACCTCATGTACAAAGTGGTTTGGGTAAGTAGCTTTGGCGGGGGTACTACTAGTGACCCTGCGCTTTCCAGGGAACTACAGTGCTAGTTGCGGGCACTTTCCGCCGCTCCGTCCCTCCGACAGGAAAGTTATTGCAACAGCACAGAACTCGGCCCTACATACACCCACGTGTCACAAATTCGCAAGCCATTGGAAGAAAAAAAATCCCTTCACCTGACCGAAAAAAACTAAAACCCAATCTGAAAGGGATGCCTCTCGGGGAGGCATCAACCCTAAAAAAATGCGGGTTCCCGTGTTTAGGGTTGATCCCTCCCGAAAATGAGTCCAGATTCCCGAAGGGTTTTATGTTTTTCTGCCCTGCGTTCTCAAAATTTTCCGAATTTGTGACACGTGGGTGAATGTGGGACCGACTTCTGTGCTGTTGCCATAACTTTCCTGTCTGAGGGTCAGAGGGGCGGAAAGTGCCCGCAACTAGCACTGTAGCTCCCTGGAAAGCGCAGGGTCGCTAGTAGTACCCCCGCCAAAGCTACTCACCCAAGTGGTTTGGGGTGACCTTGAACTGTACCTTCCAGTTGGCGCGCAATGGTCGTTGGTTTGTGACATGCCTATTCTGTACTGTACAGTACGAGACCAAACCGCTGTTGTGCGGGGGGGAAATATGCCACAAGTAACCAAATTGGAACTCGATAACGTGAATGGTAAAAAAAAAAACGCGTACGGTCACTGTATCGGGTTTTCTTACGGGTTTGGTAAGCGGGGTCACGGATTCAGTCACTAACAACAGGTAAAAAATCACGCGAATGGTCACACATGTAACTCCCGCCAAAAAAACTTGAAACTCAACAAAATTCCCGCTCGCGCCCAACCAATCTGCGAACTTGCAAAAAAACTAAAACCCAATCGGAATCGGATGCGGTTTGGGAACGGATCAACCCTAAACACCTGGCGAGTTACGTGTTTAGGGTTGATCATCCGAAAATGCATCCAGGTTCTTTCTGGGTTTCATTTTGTTTTGGCGGGAGTTTCATCTGTGACCATTCGCGTTTTTTTTTACCAGCTGATTGTGACTGATTCCGTGAAACGCTTTATCAGTCGCGTGAAAACACCCTTTGCAGTGACCGTACCCTTTATTTTTTTTTCCAAAAATGTTTTCGAGTCCCATGATGGTTACGAACGGCATATTCTCCTTGTGCGGGAGGGAAATGTGATGTGACAGACAAGATACAGTAGTTTCACTTCGACCGACCGAACCGCTGAGGAGCAGGTCACAGCGGTGACGCGTACAAGCTCGTTCGCCAGCGCATGCGTGTCAGGTGGCGCTGAAGCAGCAGTCCTCGTCACCTCACCAGACCAGAACACCTAGACGACTGTACGCTGATGGTGAAACGCGTGGATCTCGACTTCATCCACACACATGTTATCAACGGTGTCAGCACCACGTGAGGCAGATCTACGATTGAAACAAGTGTACTCAACAGCTGACGGTTGTGTCAAACAAGCTAGGGAAGATGAGCATTGTCGTTGACAACACCGCAGAAAAACGAGTGGTTGCGTCCCACTGGTTGGCTGACTGTCAAGGGTACAGCCGGATTTTCTCGAACTAAAAGAAGCGCAAGAGGTCGTGTCTTCTGATACCCACAGACCTGTTCAGTGTAGTTATGAAACCTTTGGAAGATGTACACTTTGCAAGGATCTTTAGCGTTCATAAGACGCTTAGCACTGTCATAGTGAGACCCACTGCATTGACATGTTTGTACATTCCTTTTCCCACTCTGTACTGCTCCTGTATTTGTTTCTGCACTGTTTGCTAAAACCGGTTCAGGAGGCAGGCACCCTCACAAAGCCCCACCCCGCCAGCTCCCACATGCACAACGATAATGGTGGCTGTGGCGGAATGTCGAGTCGAGAGGGTGTGGGAAGGAAGGACGAAAATTGCCGTTGAAAGAGGTTAGTGCGACAACGTAACGAAACTCACCAGTCGCAGTGTAGATCAACACAGAATCCAGGCAGCATCTGTGCGGCGCGCAATGCGAGTAAAATGCGGTCAATGTGGGTCGGGAAAATGTGTGTTTGGAGGGGAGGGTAGGGGCAGGGGGGGCGGGGGGGATGATGCCCGGAATGGGGCGCATTGAGCGACCGCCTGGAAAGCACCCTGTAACGCTACACACTGTACCAGAGAGAGGGGGAATCAAAGCGAAACGACAGCTAGCGAGTGATGAGAAATCATGAAGATGAGGGCATTGGATGAGGGTTTTTGTTCGCGGATGCATTGGCCTGGTTCGGCTGTGATCAGCACAAGAGTTGATCAAGATCACCAGCAGCGAAACTGGACGGGGTTGGATGAGATGCGAGGGACGGAAATAGGTGGCGGTGGCAGGAACGCCAACGAGACGCATTTTCACCCATTCTTCCTCCTCGTCACCCCCTCGTCCGCGTTGCTTCCCCTGTCCCTCAGCCCCATTTCCTCCCGCCCTTGTAGTATTCTCTCACTGTCGCTGCTCCCTTGTTCTGCATTTTCTAAAGCGCGCGTGCTTCGTCATCTGTAATTGCGTGGGGACGTTCACATACCCGCGTCGCCTCACCCCGCCAGGCCTCGCCACCTGCTGCCGCTCGAAACGGATTGCAGAGGGACTCAATTTCTGTTTCAAGCCTCCCACTATCTCCTTCCGTTCTTGATCTTTGTGCTCCTCTTTTGCCTTCCCCTTGCCTGTCCCTCCTTCCTGCTATCGTGTTCGAAAGCTCCCCAAGCTCCCGTCCCATCCCATTCGTTCTCTGATCTTCAAGCTCGAACCGCATTCCTCTTAATCTCCGCGCGGTCGTTGCTGTACTAGAATTTCGACTAATCCTTCCTTATCAAACCGCCTTTGGTTATGCCATCATGGGAAACGCCTGTTCCTCAGTCTTTCCGCGCGACCATGAGGACGACCTCTGCGACGTCGCGCAACGACGTCGCAATACCTCACACACAGAAACGGAGCATCCTCGCCCGCCTGCCCCCTCAGCGAAGCCCACGTGTCCCTCAGCAGTGTACACGGCTGACGTGGCAAGGGGATCCGCAGCCGACAAAATCTCCCTCCGCCGCCGTTGGCTGGGCAGCAGCCGTCAAAATTGCTACCCAAAATCGCGATCAAAATCCCAGCCGTCCAAATTCCACACCAGATCCAAATTGACGGCACGTGGTGCTCAAGAAGCGCCTCTCGCGGCGGCAGTTGCTTGCAGGAGTCTGCTAGAACGGTACGACTTAGACCGAGCTCTTGGTGAAGGCAAATTCGGTTCTGTGCGCGTTTGCCGGGCGAAAATTGGTCCGAATGCGGGAGTGGAATACGCGTGCAAATCGATTGCGAGAAGCAGCGCGCCGAGTATGGTCGTAGCACGCAGCGGTTCCAAAGGAACGGGAAACGCTGTTTCCCCCTTCACAGGCCCGTATTCGTGTTCTCCCTCTGCCACCCGCAACAGCGGCGGTAGCAGCAACAGCAACGGCACTAGCAATAGCAGTAGCAGTAGCAGCAGCAGTAGCGGTAGCGCGGGTGGTTCGACATGTGGCAGCACCTGCAATGGCAGCGACAGCGACAGCGGCAGCAGCAGCAACAGCGGCGCGATGAGCGACCTCATGTGTGATTGCCACGGATGCTCGTCCGGACCGCTCCACCTCATGACACCCGGCTCGCCCGTGTCGCGAACGACTTCCGCGTCTTGCGGATCCACGCCCTGTAGCACTCTCACCTCGCCCGCTCGCGCAGGCGCAGGCGCCGCCGCCTCAGCGGCAGCACCGCCAGCGGCAGCGGCGGCAACGGCGGCGGCGGGTGCTGCGGGATTGCAAACGGCGCTGACGGAGGTGGTGGTGTTGCGACTGTTGCAAGGTGTCGAAGGTGTCGTGCGACTGCAGGACGTCGTGGACGATGGCCCTGCGACGTCGCACTGCCACATCGTCATGCAGCTCTGTCGGGGTCCCAGCATCCACGACTACATCGCCTCCAAGGTACGTCCCTCCGCACGTACGTACGTACGTTCAGATCTCAGTAATTTGAAGGCATTTTCGAAATGAGTGTACAGTTATTGAACTTTTTCGATCATCAAGAGTCTCAATCCGCCAATTTCCCTCGCTTCCCCTGTTCCCCATCTCTCCCATCTGTATGTCTCCCTCTCTCCCTTCTCCGCCCCTTTGTCTCCCTCCGCCCGTCCGTCTGCGCGCAGGGCGTGGTGAGCGAGGCGGAGGCGGCGCGGCTGATGCGCGCAGTGATGCGCGTGGTGGCGGAGTGCCACGCGCGCGGCGTGGTGCATCGCGACGTGAAGGCCAGCAACTTCCTCTTCCTCTCCGCATTCCCCGCCGACTCTCCCCTTGTCGCGATAGACTTCGGCCTCGCCGCCTTCTGCCGCCCAGACGAGCGCCTGCGTGACGTGGCGGGCAGCCCGTGCTACGTGGCACCGGAGGTGCTGAAGCGGCAGTCGGGGCGCGGGTACGCGCACTCCGCGGACGTGTGGAGCGCGGGCGTGCTATTCCACCTGCTCCTCTCCGCGCGCCTGCCCTTCGACGGCCGTGAGTGCTCGCAGCGCCCCGCTCCCGTCATGTCCACCCCGCTTCCCATCCCCCCCCTCCATGTCACACCCCCGCCCGCCCCCGCCCCCTCCCCCTCCTGCATGCAAGCAACACCATGTTCGCTCCTTAGCTTTCCAGATCAGACGTGCTCAATCTCCCTCCCTTCCATCCGGGCATCACCTTCTCTCCCTCATCACTTCGTCTCTCGTCCCTCCCTCCTCCTTCCTTCCCCCCTTCTCTCCCCCACGCCAGCCAGCATAGTGGACGTGTTCAGAGCCGTGGCGAGTGCGCCGTTGGACCTGGAATCGCGGGCGCCATGGGCGGGCGTGTCCGCGGAGGCCAAGCACCTGCTCGCCGCCATGCTCTCCCGCGACCCTGACGCGCGCCCCACGGCGCAGCAAGTGCTCGGTGAGTTGAGATCCCTGCGCGGTGCGGTGCAGTGCGGCGCAGCAAGTCCTCCTCTGTTACTCTCTCCCACCCCACTCCTCCCAGTGCCACTAGCCCGTTTCTAACCTTTCCAACCATGCCCATCTCCTGTCTCCCTGGACCCTTGCCACATCCCCTTGCCCTTACCCTCTGCGTTTCAGAGCACAAGTGGTTTCAGATGCACTCGTCTGCAGAATGCTGACCGTCACCGTCACCGTCACCGTCACCGTCATCATTGTCCTCCTCAGCTTCACCGGCCCAATAACGCAATGAACGCCAGCTGCTGCTGCTGCTGCTGCCACGGGTGAAGCTCCCACACAGGCACGCCGTCAGGCCGGCCCTTCACACGGATGGGCACTCAGCAGGCAGCTTCCACGTGTATTTTGAGTCGAATAAAAAAGCTCCTGCACTAGCATGCCTTAATGCCGGACCTTTGCACAGCTGAACATCAACCAGGCAGCAGCCAAGCCATGGTAGGGCCATGGCTAACCCATGTCCAATCCATGGCTAACCCATGTCCAATCCATGGCTAACCCATGTCCAATCCATGGCTAACCCATGTCCAATCCATGGCTAACCCATGTCCAATCCATGGCTAACCCATGTCCAATCCATGGCTAACCCATGTCCAATCCATGGCTAACCCATGTCCAATCCATGGCTAACCCATGTCCAATCCATGGCTAACCCATGTCCAATCCATGGCTAACCCATGTCCAATCCATGGCTAACCCATGTCCAATCCATGGCTAACCCATGTCCAATCCATGGCTAACCCATGTCCAATCCATGGCTAACCCATGTCCAATCCATGGCTAACCCATGTCCAATCCATGGCTAACCCATGTCCAATCCATGGCTAACCCATGTCCAATCCATGGCTAACCCACTCACCCACCTCACCAACCCCACCAAACCCCTCCAGCCATCCAGCCCGCCTCTTTTAAACGCTGCCTGCCTCTCTGCCCTGCTCCTCGTCTTGACTGGAGGCTGAAAGGGGTACTGTAACCAGCAACAAGATACCAGGTGTTTGACCCATGGATTCTAGCGCCTCCCTGTCGCCCAAGTCTAACCTCCTTTCGGTGGTCCAAGGTCCGAGGTCCAAGGCCCAAGACCCAAGGCCCATGGCAAGTGCATATGGCTGTTCTGTGTGTGTGTACATAGAGCCACCTGGAATGTGGCACTGAAATGTGTGTCACCATGCTGGCGTTGAAAAGGGTATGGTGGCAGCTGAGAAAGCACTACCATTGGCTGTTGGAAGCGCTAAACAGAGGGAGCGCGGAGTATCATGGCGGCAGTTCAGAGGATGTGTCTCTGATACAGGGGTACCAACTACCTACTACCCGGCAGTTATCGTGCAGGGGGGTGCTGGTGTACAACCGTACCAGTTGTGTTGACATGGAGGGGAGGCTTCTGCTCGGGGTGCTCCCAGGCTTGGGGGATTACGGGGTCGCTGGGGCGTGTGTTAGTGAGTGGTGGGGTTGGCTGATAAAGTACGGTAGTGTGTATAGAGCTGATAAAGCAGTGTGGTGGGGTGGTGGTGGAGGATGGAAGGTAGAGAGGCCAAAGCAGCAGCAGCAGCAGCAGCAGGGCAGCACGGTCTCATCCACGGTTCTGTAATTCAACCCCACTGAACCCAACCCCGTGTCGCACGTTGCCTCTGCATGGGTTCATGCCATGCACGCTCACATTCCCCTCGCTTTCACATGTGCGGCATGCATGCCTGATAAGTGCCTTGTCGCATGTGGCTTGAATCTTCAATGCATGGCACGGCTCTGTGCCATGCCGGTGCATACCATCTCACATGCCATGCCACATCCTTTCTGCATGCTTGTATATAGCTTTACTACTGGATTATGTTTTGTTAGGGTGGGCTGGGCTGTCCCTTTGCCTCCATTTCCACAGCCCTTGTAAAGTACCGTATCCCTGAATATAAACCGAGATTGCTTTGTGCTTTATTTATTCAAGATAAGCTCGCGAGCAGGCCCTCAGATTCGTTTTTAGGCTGTCTGATTCGTCAGACTCTCCCAAAGTTGTAGTCTGAATCTGACAGAGTTGCAAAAAAAAAAAGGCTGATAGTTCAGAGTTCTCTAAAATAAAAGTCTGAAAGATTCAGAATCACCGCCTATCAAGTCTGATTGTCTTTCTAGCTGTCTTGCTTAACTGTTCGTCTTGTTTGAACTACGTAACGTACATACAAAATGCTACTTTTCTTTGATTAGCCAGAGCTAGAACTACCCTATTCATGTATCCTAGCACTACAACATCCTACTAATCCTCCTCTCCTAGACTCCTACTCATTAAATCCATCATCATCATCGGAGTCAACTGCATCCTGCTCATCTTCTAGGTCAACTACATCCATCTCTTCATTTGCCTCCCTGCCCTTCTTGTTGTGTTGCTTTCCTGCAGGCAGGAGTGGAGCGTTGCTCTGGGGCTTGCGCTTCTTGTAACTCCTCCAGACTGTCACAATCTCATCCCAGTCGGGGGCGTAATCCATCAAGCTCATGCACATAAGGTCCCCCAGGCGAGCATCCTTGAGCGCGCCCCTCTTCCACGACTTAATGATGTTATGGCGGGAGAACCCCCGCTCGCACTCCACGGTGCTCAGCGGCAGCACAGCAACCGCCACCCACAGGAGCACCAAGTTGGGGTAGTTCTCCCGCCAGTTGGGAGTCTTGAGCATGGCAGTGAGACCCGCGTGAAAACTGCGCTCGCCCTTGGTAGATGCTGCAAGCACCGAAGTGAACATGCGCAGCTCCTTCTCTGCGCGGCGCTTGTCAATTCCTGACGGGATAGGAAGTAAAACAGGAGGAGCAAGCTCAGAATCCAAATTCAAACATTCATTGAAGCGACATGCAATACAAACGATGCATCGGGGTAGCCTGATATTAAAACCAAGCTGCTTAATGGCTTACCTGCGACTGTGAATCAACGGTTGGTTCCGCAGATGTCTCTGCCACATGGTCGGCAGAAAGTGAGATAACTGGAGCCGCGGGTGCTTTCTGTATGGGAATCGTATCGGGCGTGGCGCGTGCAGCTTTATCGAGATCTAGTGTACTAAGCAAGAAGTCCAAGCCTGTTAAGGCAGGCCGCTCATCAGGGTCGTCGTCGCCTGTGGCGGGATTGTCCAGCACCGCCATGGCGGGGCTGTGAAAGAGCCTGTCGAGCAGGAACTAGAGAGATGATGGCTGAGGCAAAACCGGGCACTGGCTTGGGCCCGTGAGTTGTAGCTGAGGGGTGTGGATGAAACCCTAGCACAAACACGAAGGCCCTTTACCAAGATGCGCCATCATTGAGTTGTGTGGGTGGTTGCCTACCATGCACGGCAACGACGAGGCGCATCGTTGCAGTGTGTGGTGTACCACGATGCTGCCTAAAGGACCGTCTGCTTGCCATCACGTTTACGTGGGTGGCAACTGCTGCAGCATCTTGTACAGGGGTGGTAGTGGAGTTCGTGACGGCGGACAAAAGATGCCAAATGCACCAATCAGTGCGCGAGTAGGGTGTGTGCTGGAGCTTACACCGAGGGAAAGAACGCGCCGCAGGGCGGGTGAAACATCCACCTGTACGAGGGAAACATCGGGCCGCAGGGCGGCGGTACAGGTACAATGTATGTACCACAGCTAATCCTGGGTGTCGGCGCGCAGGTAGATTCATTCAGAGTCGGAACTCGTTTGTACTCTGAATTCATCAGAGTACACTCCCGGAAAACTCTGAAACGTCAGAGTCAGCCTAGAGAAAAATATGATTTTCACAGAGTTGAGACAATAAAAACTCTGAATTTTACAGAGTACACCCTAAAAAAAATCTGAAATCTCAGACTAAAACAAGCAAATCAGACAAAAAAGTCCGACTTCTGGGGGCCTGCTCGCGAGTTGCCTTTCTCCCTTTCTGCAAGGAACATTCCTTTTCCCTACTTTGCGTCCCTGCCTACCGCGCACATGACCATTCCCGCCATCAGCACCCAAGAGTGAAACGCTACCAGCTCGCGACACTCGCCTCGACCCCGACTACCGCCACTGTTCACGATTCGACCCAACCTCACGGTTCGGTTGGTAACCCGCGCTCCGGACCTCCGCCTCGACATTCCCCAACCTTGGCACTAGGCCCGTAGCGCACCCCATTTTCTCGCGTTACCGTTACCACGCTAGCTTCGCTATATATTCTTCGCTCAATGTATTGTTTTGTCAAAATGTTATAATGCTTACATTGTGTAGGGTGTAGTGGGGTAGCCCATAAGGGGTACAACCCAATTAGGGTTAGCACTTGTACCAACTTTCTGTTCAATGCATTCATTCTCGTTCAGTATTCTAACATGGTTTCAGAGCAAGTCCTGTTCAAGAACCGTTTTTTTTAGGGCCCACCACATAGCACTGCCCCACTAGTCGCGTCACCCTGCCCTCCCTATCGTGTCGCCCTGCCCTGCCTGTCGCGTCGCCCTGCTGGCTGTCGCGTCGCCCTGCCCTGCCTGTCGCGTCGCCCTGCTGGCTGTCGCGTCGCGTCGCCCTGCCCTGTCAGTCGCATCGCCCTGCTGGCCGTCGAGTCGCCCTGCTGCCCGCGCGCCGCATTGCTGGCAGCCGCGCCGCCCTGCCCTGCCTGCGCGTCGCCCTGCCCTGCCCGCGCTGAGCAGCCCTGCTGCTCGCGCCGCCCTGCTGCTGCCCGCCCTGCTGCGCGCAGCCCTGCGGGCCGGCGACCTGCTGCCCGCCCTGCTAAGCGCCGCCCTGCAGGCCGACGCCCTGCTGCCCGCGCGCCGCCCTGTTGGCAGCCGCACCGCCCTGCCCTGCCCACGCACCGCCCTGCTGGCCGCCGCCCTGCCCTGCCCTGGCCGTGCGCCACTCTTCCTTAGCCGTGCGCCACCTCTCCCTGCCCTGCGCGCTTCCCTAGTGCTTGCGCGCCGCCCTGCCTGTGTGCTGCCCTGCTGGTCGCGCGCCACCTTGCTCTGCCCGCTATGGCTTCTCTCAGTGTACTCACTTTCGATCATGAGGGCCGCATCCGATCTAGATCGATACGTGGCTCGACGACTTACAGATGTACCTACTGAGCGATTCTAGAGACAGCGTTTCGTTGTTTGACCACACTTCTG